GGCCAAAGCCAAGGCCAAAGTTAAGGCCAAGGCTGCAGAAGTCCAGGTCAAGCAGGAGCTGCCTGCAAGCCAAGAGCCTGCAGAAGAGGAAGGAGAGCCCCGGACCGAGCCCGACACCAAGGTTGGGGCCAAGCCCAAGACCGAGGCCAAGCCCAAGAACGGGGCAAAGCCCAAGAACGGTGCCAAGCCCAAGAACGGGGCCGAGAAGTCGGAGAGCAAAGAGGGCGACAGCAGCACCCCCACCGAGACGCCTAAGAGGAAGCTCACTGCTGGCGACCTTGTGAAGTTCGCCGACGACTTGGAGAAGGAGGAGCCGGCCGAGCAGCAGGGCGGCCAGGACGACGAGGCCGAAGAGCAGGGCAGCCGAGACCGTTGCAAGAACCGCTGGTTGCAGAAGAGGAAGAAGGCTGGCAACGTTCCGGAGGAACTTCTCAGCTACCTCGAGAAGTGCGGTCGCCAGGACACGACGGACGCCGTGAACCGCCTGGTGAAGCGAGGCAAAGGAGGACGGTTCGAGCTGTGCTTGGAGAACGCCTGGTGGAAGGAAACTCACCAGAAGTTCGACAGTGTCAAGGGCAAGGACAAGGCCCTGGGCTACACCCTGACCAGAGCCAAGGCTTTGTGTGGTGGCCAGCAAGGGCTGGACCAAGCCCTGCAAACCGGCGAAGTCAGGCAGGTCACGGAGGACGGCACCACTTACTACGTTTTCAAGGCCCGTCGTGTGTTCTTTTTGTTTCGTCCTCTGCTTTCTCCTGCTCTGCATGCATGCAGGAGATCCAGGTGACCCACGAGAAGGGAGTACATAGCCAGACCTCTTGCGAGGGTGCTACAGAGGTGGACCATGGGGTCCACTCGAAGTTCAAGGACTTCGTGCAGGGCTACGACTTGAACCTCGTGCCACCGCCCCCCGCCGTGACCAGCGACCCAGCTGGAGGCAGCTCTTGCCCAGCGACCCTCACTTTGAACGAGCAGGACAAGAAGAATCTGGAGCAGTCCCTGACACTGCTCCAGACTCATCGCCAGGCTGCTGAGAAGATCTTCCTGGGAATAACGTCGACCACGCCGACGGCAGCTACGTCCAGGAGCATGCTTCAAAGGAACTTGCAAACGGTCCTGAGCAAGATCAGTGAGCTTCACGAGGTGGCAGTGTTTAACACGCACCGCAAAAACCCCGTGAACAGCTTGGTCGTCAGCAACTTGCTTCGGGAGGCCGGCTGAATTTTTAGTCCACTCCTGTCCCATATCAATTTCTGTGTGCCCCTGCATGCAGGCGGCAGCGGCAGTCTCCGAGCTCCAGGAGAGCATGTCCATGTGCCGTGGTCTGGTGTCAAAGCAGCAGTGAGCGGCTGCCAGGATCTCTGCATCCTGTTAATTATCTTAGAGCTCTGCTTTCGCATAGCTGTCCGACTTCTGCGAGAGTTCTAGTCTAGCCGACACTGGCACTCCAGCTGCAGCGGGGACCTGGCAGCTAACCGACAAAGCTGGATGCCTTGCATGCACTGCACGAGTTCTTCATAAGCTGTCTTCGTCTGCAAGACTGACTGAGGTCTATGTTCGTCGCGAACTCGCAGCAGCCATTCTTGGCTTTCCCTGCCATGAAGGCCAAGGCCGCCGAGGTTAAACACTGCCTGAGGCCATTGCTGGAGGTGTGGAGGTTGCACTATATGTCTCCACACTCACAAGAGGATGCTGAAGTGCTGCTTCTCTTGCAGCGAGCAGCGGATATGGACGACCTGCTAGATCAGGATCCCACCCAAGCCGTGCTCCTTTACCAAGATTCCATCCGGCTTTGTGTTCTTGGTTTCGAATACTTCGGCTTGATGGGTCGTCTCATGAAGCGGTTTTTGTTACAGGGAGACATGGCCTTCAACGTGACCTTTAAGGCTCACTGGCTGTGCCACGGACTCTTGGAAAGTCATTTCTTAAGTCCAAGGGTCGGTGCCTGCTATGGGCAAGAAGACCTAATGCAAATCGTTCGCCGAATGGTGAGTGTCTGCACCCGGTCGAGGAATCCTGTAGCCACCGTACAGAAGGCCATGCAAAAGTATGTCATGGCATTGCATGTCGACTACAGCCGGATGTGAGATCTGCACTTTGAGGATCGAATACGACTGCTTCTGCATCAGGGTTCAGGGTTTAGGGTATTCGGGTTTATAGGGTGTCAGCTCTAGGATGCCCGCAGTGGCTCCTGTATACAGGATGCCTGGGAGTGCATGCATGGGCTCCTACAGAGTTTTTAGGATGCCTGCAGTCTGGGCTCCTCTACAGAAGTCAGCAGATAACAGGATGCCTGCAGTGGGCTCCTAAGG